TGCCTTTATTTGGAGCTTTCTAAACTTCAACCTTTTCGTAAGGAGTGTGCTCTTAACCAGATAGTCTATAATAGAACTTTGCCAGTTGGGAGTTATACTAACTTGTGACACTTCGGTTGTTGGCTCCGCCTCTATGCTTGGCTTGTCTAGATACTCCATCAAAATAAAGCGTTTGAGTTGGTGGTCTAGGGCGAAGCCTAGGCCAGTTAGCGCGTCCACGTAGACGTTGTCTGCCCGCAGAACTTGAGTGAGAGTGTAAGTATGAAATGCCTCAAGTTTCTTGCATACCTTCTTTAAGTATTGCGTCATCCTCAAATGTTTTGTCGTGTACTCCCCTGTAGTTTGGTTGGTGATTAGCTGGGAATCGAAATGAATTGCGAGCTTCTTCACCGCCAAGTCTTTTGCCATTCCGAGGCCTGCTAGTAGGGCCTCGTACTTTGCTTCGTTGTTGGATGCTTTGAAGCCTAGAGTGATTGCCTGCTCGAGCATTAAACTGTCTAGGGTGACAAGGACCACGCCTGCTCCTGAGCCTTTGTAGTTGGATGCGCCATCAACAAGCAAATGCTAGAAGTCTCCACTGGGGGGGAGCAGGCATGGCTAAGGTGTGCTTGGTTGTTTCCAGGGCGTCGTTGGGTCGCTCTGTTGCGTCACCTAGGCTAGGAGTGAATTTTGCTATGAAGTCCACCAAGGCTTGCGCCTTTATCACCGTGTGGGGTCAGAAAACTAAACTATATTGGCCAAGTTCCAACGTCCATTTCATCACTTGTTGAGAAACATTCTAACCATGTAGGATTGATCGTAGAGGATATTGAGTCATGAAAATGATTGTATATGCTTGAAAGTATGGTCTGAACTTCCAAGCCACAACAACTAGGGCCAAAATTAATTTCTCGATCTTTGGGTATCTAGTTTCCACATCGAGAAGAGCCTTAAAGGTGTAGAATATCGACAGTTGGGCCCCCAACTCTTCTTGTATGAGGGTAGAGCTCACGGCCGCTGCTTCTGGCTTGGATAGTAAGTGAGGTGATGTAAGATACTTCTTCAGGTTTTGGAAAGCCTTTTCACACTCATCATCCCATTTATCTCGTTGTGCCCTCGTGATGGCCTTGAACAAGGGTTTGCATCGATTGGTGGACGGCAAGAGAAAGTGGTTGATGGCAGCTGTTCATCCGGTCAAGCTTTGGATCTCCTTCAAGATGCTTAGAGATTTCATTTCTAGGTTAGCTTAGATTTGCTTGGAATGTGCTTAGATTCCTCGTTGGGTTACTATGTACCCTAAGAATCTGCTTGAAGATACTCTAAATGTGCATTGGCAGGATTGAGCTTCATCTTATGTTTTCTAAGGATGTTGAAAGTTTCCGCCAGGTTGCCGATGTGGTCTGATCGTTGCTTGTCTTTCACCATGATGTCATCGACGTAGACCTCCATGGTTACTTCAATTTGCTTATTGAACATCATGTTTACTAACCTTTGGTAAATGGCTCCTGCGTTTTTGAGACCAAAGGGCATGACTTTGTAGCAGTAAGTGCCTCGCTAGATCACAAACACAGTTTTCTCCTTGTCGAGCTCGTACGTGACTATTTGGTTGTAGTCGGAGTATGCGTCGAAGAAGCTGAGCAGCTGGTTCCTAGAAGTTGAATCTACTAATAGATCGATTCGAGGAAGTGGGTCAGGATTCTTTGGGCATGCTTTGTTAAGGTCGGTGTAGTCTACGCAAACCCTTCATTTGCCCTTATTTTCTTCTTTACTAGCACGACGTTGGCAAGCCATTCTGAGTGTGCTACCTCTTCGATGAATCCGGCCTCTAGTAGCTTGTCAATTTTTTCTTAAATGATCATCACTCATTCAGGTACAAAATGCCTTCTTTTTTGGATCATCGGTTTTGTAGCAGGATTGACGTGCAGCTTGTGGCAAACTATCTTGGGATTGATGCCGGGCATGTTAGAAGGTGACCATCCAAAGATGTCACGATTTTCCCTAAGGAAAGCCGTGAGTTCTTCCTTCTTTACCGGGCTCAAACGTTAGCTGATTCTAGCCTTCTTTTTTGGCTACTAGGGATCAAGAATAATGTCATCGGTGTTCTCTTTGGGTTTTCATCCTATCTCGTCTGCTGGAGTGTTATCTTGGACACCATTTTCTTTATCCAACTGTTGTAATTACTATTTGGTAGCTTCATTGTCCCTTTGGGCCTCGGTAGCCTCTACTAGGGTAAAGGTCTTCTTCTTTGATTCCTTCAATACTTGCACAGTGCATCGTCGAGATGCGGCCTGAACCATGGCCCGCTTTTGATGTCAGGAAGGATTTGGTGGATCGAGATTGAGAACTTAGAGTAGTTTTTAGTCGTCAGGCCTTCTTTGGTTATGGGTCGGTCCCTAAGCTTGGCCTCCTACCTTCTTTTGTTGTACTGCTTCCTATCTTTTTTCTTTTAAGCCACTACCAAATTTTTTCGAAGTTGCTTAGGTGCCTTGTTTGCTTGTCGAGCCTCATCCCAAAGTGGATGCTTTTCTACCAGAGTGAAAGAGTCTGCTAGAGTTAGATCTTCTTTCATGGTCAATTCTCTGAACAGTTGGTGGTCTATTGGGAGTCATTTTTAGATGGCTGCACTTGTTATCAAGTCGTCGCATCTGACTATCTTTGCCTTCTCTACTTTGAACATCTTCACGCTTCACATTGAACAAATGGTCAGAGTTTTTCTTGATCGAGTGGTTGGATGAGTATTCTTTGGTGAAAATAAATGAAAGATCATCAAAACTCCGGATGGATCGTGGCGGTAAAGTGTGAAACCAATCTTGCGTCTTGCCTTGTGAAGTGGTGGCCAATATCTTGCACATAAGGGCATCGTTGTTCCGATAAATGACCATTGTGCTTCAGTAGTGCTTCAAGTGTCTCTCCAAATCCTCATCTCTTTTAAAAAATGTGAAGTGTGGCATGCGAAACTTATGCGGAAGCTCTGCCTGCTCGATCTAATCCGTGAAGCGTGACCTGCTCATGTTGGTCATGTCCCATCATAGTGCTTCATCGGTGACTTCGTAGTGTTGGAAATCGCACAATCGCTTGTTTAAAAGCCTCTCTATCTTTTCTTGAATCTACTTTTGTTGGGGTAGTGGAGCTCTTGGCTACTCTTCTACGTACTCGGCTCGTCTATGTCGCGGTGGCGGTGCATATGGTTCGTTCCTAGTAGGCAAGGGAATTCTTCGCAAACTGCTAGTTGAACTTGAGTTGGATTAAGTGACTGCTTTTCTCCATCATTCGTGTTGCTTATTCCGATGTGAGGTGGATGATGCTCCTTGTGGGACTAGCCGCGAATAAGCACTTCGCCTGGAAAGTTGCTTATGTTGACTATCAGAATATGGCCCCAACCATGAATGTATACTTGTCTTTGGGCCTAGTCGAAAGTGCACACTCCTTCGTGAGCTTAGACAAGAGTATACACTATCTCGAGGGCCCAGTCAGGAGTGTACACTACTAGAATGCTCGGTTCGTGGCTGGTCTAGTGACTGCTTGCCAAGATGCTGCTGGAGAGATTTTTTGTCTGCCCTTGTCCTACTTTGGGACACCTCGTTTGGGGCACATTGCGTCTCAGTGTGCTGCAAGAGCTGATTCACCAAGGTCGTCTGCTGTGTGAGGGCGCTTGTCAACTCTATGACTTGTCAAGACAAGTATTGTTCTCCATTTGGTTTGGAAGAGCTTGGACAGAATGCGTCTCCTAGGGTAGCGGAAGTGTGGTAGACTCCGGGTGAGAGATTTGAGTTGGGAAACGTCAAATCCGTAGAGAAATATGGTGAAAATGCCCCCGGTTCAAGCGCAGGCCCATAAATCTGAAGCCGAGACGGTTGAATCGATCTTAGACCGGCGGGAACTACTTGAAAGGCCACGGGAGTGGGCTAGGCCACGAGAGTAGGCTGGGCCACGAGAGTAGGCTGCTTGGCGTGCAGCACACGTGGGTGCGAAGCTAGGGCTTAACTTGGTAATGAGTTGGGCTTGGGCCCTTGAAGCTTGAGGTGGCACGGCCTAGACCAAGGCCATGGAGCTGTGGACCTTGCCGAAGGTAGATGCCGTGGTGGCCACCTTAGTGGTTGCTACGGTGGTGCCCCGTGGGGATGGTGCTGCTCCACTCATCGTCGTGTTAAGCCTTGTAGATTGTCGTAGTCCTAATTCTTGAACGTTGGAATTTCCGTTCGTTGAGGTTTCCAAATCTCTTCAAATGGAAAATTGGCCAATTTTAAAAGTTCAGGGGGTAATCGAATAAAATTAAAGTTCAAAGGAGAAATTAGTAGCTCCTTGCAAGTTCGAAAGAAATCGACCAATACCTCAAAACAATAAAACCAAAAAAACACTACACCACAAACCACTTTCTCTAGTAGCCTAGAAATGCTATAGAAAGTGTTTCATAGCATTTTCTCCACTGCTATATATTAGGCCATGTATGTAGAAACTAATTTAGTATGACATTTTTTATTTGAATATCTAGATCGGAGTGTGTCACCAAAACATAGCGTACATGTGATTAGATTAATCAAACCTAAGAAGATGGTGCGTTTTCTTGGTGGGAATGGATTGTTTGTGTCTTGGACTTTTAGGGGTTTATCTTTTTTTTGTTTTATCTTAATTTTCTAAATGACTTTTTGGTTAAATATCATGCGTTCCTCTAAAATCAATCTGTTTACATATGAACTGGCCATGGGCAATAGGGTGGATGGTTGACGTCCGCCAGACACGGTAGATCGAAGTCTTTTTTTATTGTTACATATTTACTAGACGCTGTTGTATTAAATGAATAAATCATGCGTCATTGTGGTGACGTACATGGCACATAGATGAGTCATTTAATATTGAGAGGGGCATTTTACATAAGTTCACCATAAACGCAAGAAGAGGCGACAAAGGGTACATATCATATAAATATGCATAACCACTACACATCTAATTACACCAATCGATCCCTCCAAAGTATAACAGCACTAGTTTTTAGCCACAATTTGCCTTGTTCTTACTTTAATATGTCAATACCCTTCACCCTTATTGATGCAACCCCTGACTCATACTCAAGGTTCATAGATCAACTGCGAGCTCGACTCACATTCGGCACCACATCTCAGGGTATACGGGTGCTGCCTCCAAGTCGACAAGTCGGGAACAACGCCCGGTTTATTTATGTTGATCTCACCAACTATGACGGAGTCACTGTCACAATCGGAATTGATGTTGTGAACGCTTACGTGATGGGTTACGAGCAAGGTGAGCAAAACTACCCTCTTCAAACTCTTCCTGATGACCCAGCTCCAGTCGAACTGTTATTCCCCAACACCAGGTCAGCTGGTGAACTGCCCTTCACAGGCCACTACGCCTCGCTTGGGGAATATGCACGACGTATGCAGAATGAACAACCTAATCGTCGTGACCAACAAGCACTTAACCGACTGAGTAATCCTATGCGTCAGAATATCGGTCTGGGACCCAGCTCCCTTCATAGCGCCATTGACATGTTGGAGCGCGCAGCAACGCCCCTCTCCCAAGCGGGTGCGATACTTGTGATCATTCAAATGGTCTCGGAAGCAGCAAGGTACCCATACATTGAGAGGCAAGTCCGCGAGTCCATTCAGACGGGAAATTCATTTCTACCTGACCCTCGTATGCTGAGCCTGGAGAATAATTGGAGCAATCTCTCCCGACAGATCATGGGGGCAACTCGCGCAGGTCGAGAAAGCTTCAGTACTTCTGTTTCGTTGGACGATGCCTACCAAAGTCATGGTGCTCCTCCCCTCGTAGTAAACAGTGTTCGAGATTCATTCATTCAGGACATGGAAATCGCGTTGCTGCTCCATGACCGAGGTGACGACCGAGGTACCGACCAAGGTAATGACCCAGAGAATTGCACCCCTGGACCTTCAGGTTCAGGGATAGGGAGACGGGGAGGGAAAAAGCCTCGTCGTCAGCACGAGTAATAGTTCCTTTTATTTGGGTTGTTGTTTTATGTTATTTTGTCGTACTGTAATATTGTTGCTCGGGTGAAGTTAATTCAACATTTTCCTTTTGGTTGTCGAAAGCTTTTAAGATGAATAAACATCTGCACTATCTTCCTGTTTAATAGGTGTGCAAGTGGTGGGGGATAAACCAATTTCCAATAAAATAATATACATTTTTCATGTAGAGCTTACTTCACATTATATTTTATCTATCAAACTATGTTGGAAGATTCTCTTAAAGATATTGTTGACCCTAGAAACTACAAAGCCTACGTGGCGCGCAGGCCGAGTAATTAATGAGCTAACTACGTCCTTCGGTGAATGCGGGGCGTGCCAACTCGTCGGCCGAGGAGTAAATTTGTTGATGTTGCGTTGGGTCGCACTACTGACTTCTGCGTCTTGCGATTGCGGCCGAGAAAGGAACACGTCTCGGCCTCTTGGGCTCTCGAACCTGAAGACAAGGTTACTATTCTTACGAAGTTCAGTATCAAATTCGGCTTTCAATGTGCCGAATGAAATAACTGTAACACCTCACTTCGCCGAGAAGGCTGATGAGATGACCTCGACCTAAAAGGATTTAGAAACCCTTCTCGACCGAGACTTGGATAGGTAATCAACCACTCTCGCCGCAGTGCTGTTGATGCCAACGGAAGATACTGCGAGAACGACTAATTCTACGGTGACAGAGCTATCTATGCCGACTTAAGATATCACCGGTTGCTTCCACAGTGCTGTTGATGCCAACGGAAGATGTGTCAGCGAAAAGGAAAAAGAAAAATCACAAGTTGTGAGAATTTGCGCAGGGCAATTTTGTGTTGATTTGCAGGGGCCTTTCCTGATGCACAGTGTCCCCTATTTTATAGTACTGATCCTTGAGTCCGAGTTTAAATCCTACTCGGACTAGGTTTCCCTCTCCGGATCACCTCGACCAGTCCTATATTTACTAGGACTATGAATCTAGTCCTTAGCTAAGCTGGATTCGTTTTCTGGATATCCGATCCCGTCGAGACTCCTCATTGCACTAGGACTTGTCCTAACCGCTCTAGGTTTGGACTCCTACGGGTTGACCGATCCATGGCCCTTTTGTTGCCCGGCCTCCTGGGCCGAGAGTGATCCTACCCTCGGCCCAAACTATTATTTTGGGCCCAAACATTGCCCCCTCGCTTCTGAGGTCCTCGGCCTGAAACCTTCGGCCGAGTTTCGGCCTTGAAGAAGCGAATCTACCACTCAGAGTCCTAATACCCGAGTTCCGAGGCGCATTTATTGAACACGATCGCACGATCTTGATACTGCTAAACCATTCGCCACGTGGCGTCCCCTAACATGGCCAATCCCCAAGAATGATGTCCAAAGCGTGCGGCAGCCTGAACCGTCTTGCCATCATGATCTTATGGCTGAACTTAAACACTACCTCAATCCGCGAGCCACTTGTCATCGTGCGGGCGTCGAACCGTCTTTCGTCATCAATTTCGCCGTCACACACGCGATCGTGCGCCCCCAAAACCTAAAACCTTCAGTCTTCCCAACCGCATTTCCCAAATGTTCATCATGATCAACGATTCCTTCGTCGATTTTGCCCTTTGTTTTGAATTTCGAACGATTGCTCTTCCCTCCACAACTCTATAAATACCGACATTCTCTCATTTGTACTTTACGCTCCCAAAATTTTCTGAAATCCCTTGCCATTGCCTTCTAGTGCATTTCTCCATTCCAGGTCTCCGTATTCAAATCCCCACCCCAGAAAATCCTTTTACGCCTTGCTTCCTTCTTACAATGGCGTCCTTCATCTCCAAGCTCTCCAGGGAATGTGACCAACATCAGAAGATTCTTGATCGGAGTTCGATCAAGACTATACGTTTTGAAAACGATATGAGCACTCAGCACCAGATCCTGGGTCCTCTCTTCAAGGCTGCGATACCGCCGACCATCACCAGCCTTCTCCAGGAGCACTGCCTAACACCCTTGCTTCAAGGGTTTGAATGGTCGCGATGGGATGTGGCGAAACCCCAAGGCTCTTGGCCTTCGACGACCACAACCTGGGCAGCCTGGGTTGTGCGAATGGAACGGCTCTTCGGCGAGCAATGGAAGACCCTCGGCATCTACGATGCCATCCTCCTCTCGTCCATGGATGTCGTCCTCGACAAGGAGCTTCTCCTAGCCGCTCTGTGCTTTCTTCTGGTGCTCGGCCACCAACACAATGGTTCTTCCTCTTGGTCCCATTGGTCCCACCACCCTGGATATCACCGCCATTCTGGGGACTTCGGCAACCAGGATCCCTGTCGACGCGACCCTCTCTAGGCACCCGTCGAATATCGATCTGAAGATGCTTTTCGACCGTCGAGCCTTGGAGACCCTGAACCATGACGGTCACATCCCGTCGAAGGAAGACATTCAGAAGCTCCACAAGAACTTCTGTAATTACAACACCCTTTATCTTCACTTCGCCGGCAGAGGAGAAGAGGACCTGCGAGAAGGAGAGCATGAAGCCTTCCTCTTCTATTGGTACAACAAATGTTGTACCAAGTCAAACAAGTGTTTGGTCGAGAACATGCCAGTAGCCGAAGCCCTGGCTAGTGGTCACGTCCTGGCACTGAGTTCCAACATTCTCGCCCAACTCTTCCGTTGCCTGGCCGAGGCAACCCTCCACAAGGTCGACCCGCACCAGAATGGTCCCCTCTGGGTCTTCCAGCTCTGGTTACAGGTGTACTTTACCTCCCTTCGGCCGGCCATAGCTGACTTCACACCAACGGAGGCGCTTGGACCTCAGCTGGCCTCTCGACCGATACCTCCCCATCAAGCCGAAGAGGTATTTCGATACCTCTTCGCTCTCGACGACTTCTCCAACGACGAGTTCCTGATATGTCGTCGTCGGAGCTATCCTTCCTTCATCAGGCTGCCTACCTCTACATGGGGCGCAGAGGAGGACGCTGATCTTCGTCAGACCTGGGGGTCGTTTGTGCTTGCTCGCGACCTACCTCTCGGCTGTGATGGGAAACGGTCGGGTTGGGAAGTATATCATCCGAACTTCCTAGCCCGACAACTCGGCTATCTTCAGGGCTGCCCTGTCCCCTTCTCTCCTCCCGAACAGTCCTAAGCCGTGGCCGTGAACCTCGTTCCTCGGAGAAGGAATGTAACACGGCCGCGAGGGAGTTCCAGGAGTCCTGCCAAAAATTCTGCCTTCGACCGGCCACCCCAGAAACCCATTGCACCGACACCTTCGGTGAGTGGTGGGAAAATTACACCCAGGAGTTTTTTGGTGCTCCGGTCGAAGAGGTACTGAACAGACTCTTCGGTGACCGACCTAAGAAGGCCTCGGTCCCCCAAACTCAAGGTAATTGTTCATTTCTCCTCTTTTCCTTCAACCTTGCATATTGCTTTGCCTTACTGACCCGTTTTTATCTTCTTAGGTAGTCGGCCTTCGAGAAAAATGGAGGCTGTTGCCGCGGTCACGACCGAGAAAAAATCGGTCGTGGCTAAAAAGGTTAAAACCGCCGGTCGGGCCGTGCTGACCAAACGACCTCGTCAAGAGGCCGAGCCGGTCGTTGAACCTCCACAGCCTGCCAAGCGGGTAAAACAGCTGGCAAAGAAGGGCGCACGGGAGATACACGTCATCTCCAGTCAAACTACAGGGGCAACTACTCCCAGTGTTTCCCCTTCTCCTGCCGTTGTTGAAACCTCATTCGAGAAACAGCCGGCCCCGGCCGCAGAGACAATTCGAACACGGCCTGTCTCTGGGACTGGTATACCAGTTGCGCCTCCCTCCGCCGAGAAAGCACCCGTTCCAAAAAAGGTGGTTTCTGTGACCGAGGGAAAAACCCCTGAAAATCCAAAGCCCTCGGTCTTTATTCTGGAAGAGAGTGAGGGGAGCGACGAGGTCCCGCTGGCAGATCGTCTGCACCCTCGCCGACAACCTCCCCCAAGGTCCGAGATGGTGGTTCAAGCCGGCCCCTCCACGGCTGACCGTGGCAAGCGTCCGGTCGAGGAACCCACGGCAGTGGCCGAACCTCTCGCTCCCTCTCAGGACCAGGATGTCCCTGCCTCCTCCGAAACGGCTGTTCCGGTCGGCCCATCTGCAGCCGACCGTGGCAAACGCCCACTCGAAGAACCCGAGGCAACGGCGGACTCACCCGTTCATCCCCAAGACCAGGGCTTCCACATTCCTCCACAGGAGGTTACTTCGGCCTTCGTAAGTACCTTCGACCATCTTTCCTTGATCGCTTTTTTTTCTTTAGAATTCTAAACGAGGAAAATAATAAATGTCAGGTGCCTGTACATTCTTTTCACCGAGAATTCTATGCGCCGAAGGGCGTTATCTATATTTCGTGGCCGCCTCAGTGGCCATCAAACGTAGATAACCTCCATCGGCCGCGTGAACTGAGAAGCAACCTGAAACACTGGGCTCGGCCATTGAGTTCTTTAGGTTCGACCAACGATCCTGGAGAAATGGCCGAGGTCTCCTCTCGGCAGGTTAAAAAAACGAAACCTTCTTGCTACTCCTGTCATGACTTCTTTTAAACTTAACCTGATTTGTATGTGCAGGCTTTCTGGGAGGTCGAATTCAAAGCCCTCCTCTCCAGTACTACTGCAGAGTCTGGTCCTTCGGCCGCTACGACCGAAGCTGCCGATCCCAGCGCCCTAACCCAGCTGCGAGAAGTCCTGTCGCTCTCATCATCGCAAGTACTTGAGCGCAACGGTCTTGATCTGCTCGGCGTGTGTCTGAACGACCTTGGAGCCGACGGTCGCCTGAGCGGAGATGCCATTGTTCGGGCATCGTCTGCCTTGGAGCGCGTTCGGGAGACATTTAGTATCTTCCAAACCGCTCTAAAGGCCGAACAAGACCTGCAAGCTGCCACGGCCGTTCAAGACACCCTCCGTCCGAAGATTGACGATCTACGGGCAAAAGGAGACGCGTTAGCCGAGCTCAACCGTCAGATAGCCGAACTAGCAAAACGTCGGTCGGTCGGCCATTGCTTCCGAGC